AGCATATTGGCATAGTCTACTTACTCAATGCTTCTACTACTAATTTGAACATTCAGTGTTGAGCTAGTTAACGTGCGTTTCTGTAAAGTTGCGATAATTAGTCTGTCAATCAGTGTAAATAAGAAAAAATTATCAGTGTATTAGAATCACAAACATGACGTGTTCTCATGATTGGTGCAAGCATGTTGCATAATGCAAGGCACTACAACTTTTGTCTGTGGTGGTCGTGTCATAGCAATGCAAGTGACAGTACTGTTGTCTGACACTTCAAAAATGAAAAAAAATTGCATTATCATTTATCTTTCAATTGTCAGGTTTGAGCTTGGTTCAAGGTGGCAAAGTCCCCAAGTTCAAGGAAGATATATTTGAGTCAGTTTTCAACTTAAGTGTGGATGACCAATGCCTAAATCTATTACGCTTAGGGTTAAAAAAAACTGGCATATTCCAGGTAAATGTGCTTAAACTTTTTTGAAGCCAGTTTTAATGTCAGTTTTCCCCAAACACACAAACACATTTAATGGTCAAGCCTCCTTTTTAAAGTTGTCCAGTCCTACCTCTTTTTTAAAGTGTTTTTAATATTTTGTACAGCTTGCTATAAATATTGATGTATTTAAAGACTTGTTCAGAGAGGGACCCAAAGCTACTATGACCATAAGGATTCTGAATGGTTTTTTAAAACCCGTCTTCAGTGAAGCAGGTTGCAATGCAAGGAAAAGCGAATGCTTGGTTTACAGGGCTTTCCAGAAGTACCTCAGGGAAGTTGCAAGTAGGTGGTGTTCTGGTTATTTTTGGGTTGGAGCTAGAAATTAATTCATGTGGCTTTTTCAATTATACACCATAGCAAAGGGCATTTTGACTTGATGTCTCAGTATAAATCAAGCAATATTCAAAVATAATTACTATTGTTTTCATTCTGCATTATGCCAACTAATGCTGAACAACTTGCATCATATTAAAAATAATAATGCTATAGGTTTATTAAACTGAGAGCTTACACTTACACTAACACATACTAATTGCTAACTGTTATTTGTAAAGCGTATTTCAATATGTCATATAGAAAGTGAGTTATGTAAATGCATTTTTATTRTCATTATTTAATAGATAATCACGTGGACACAAAGCATTCATGGGTATAATGCACCCTTAACCACCTGCATTCTACGCATGAATGCTGTGTGCCTCAGTGATTATCTATTAAATATTGAATGGATTATGAGACATCCCTGACTGCAGCCTATTTAAACACAGGCTATGGATATAAATACTTGAACATATTATACATTGCAAAAGTTTTTCAGGATTATTGTCCCTTGTGAGGAAAAAAAAATGATATTCACATTCTTCTGGCTCATCAGATGCTTCAGAGAAATGAAATTACAGTTGATGGTTCCCCAAAATTAACATCGAACAATAATCACAGTGCATTATTTTGTTTTAACTTCTTGATTATTTTTATCTATAGGTGGTAGGCGAACTGGTTTAGATTTAGAAAGTGTGTTACAGTTTGTGACAGGAAGTAATGAAGAACCTATACTTGGTTTTTCCATTGATCCATCGTTAACCTTTMATGAGGTTACTGGTAGTTTCCTTCCAACAGCAAATACCTGTTCGAACACCTTAAGTCTCCCAAGACCGACAAGAGAACATGAACTTCCAGAAGAAAACATATTATTTGAATTGTACGATATGGCTTTTACAAGTTCCTATTTTGGTAACAAATAGATGAGAGTAATGGAAGTGTTGCCTGATGCACTCATCCAGATCTATCAGATTGTTTCAAATTTCTTTTAATTGCTTTGAAGCTTTAATTATAGTTGCATTATTGCTATCCCTTTAGATGTTACTTGTTCATACCAATATAACACTTAGATAATCAGGATGAAGTTGCATAAAGCAATTAATTGCTGGTCACTTATTAAAAAAACAGCATTTAATGATTTGAATGTAACACATTTGGCTGGTTAAAAATTCATCTGTGTTTTCAGCCTTTATCATATAGAATACCATAAGCTTGGGTACATATATTTTTTTCATTGTAATTGCAGTTGTGTTTTTTGCCAAATTATTACCYATCCAATAACTGGAAATTAATTTCAAATCAATTTTGATTAATTACTTATTTGGTAAACTTGTCAATGAATAGTAATTTTGGCATCATTCTAGTTCTTCAAATTAACTGCTGTAATCTACTCTCTAATTTTACTCTRGCAATTAATAAATAAGTTTAAAAAAAGTTATATTGACATAATATGGTTTTAGTTTAATGGTTTGATGAAAAATGAAATGTACTTTATGATGCATTTGATGTATTTAAACAATCAGATACAAAAGAAAGTGTTTTCATGTACAAGTCAATACCATATGAATCACTTGTATCAAGTGGATTTACAAGAACTTTAAGCCTTCCATAATCAGCCTCTTGTAAAGGACAGTTAACAGGAGGAATTTCAATGATATCACCATCTTCATCTGGACCACTCCATTCACTGCATGGTAATGGCCCATCCCAGTCAATCCCATAATTATTACAGTTACCCTATAACACAATTGGTTGAATAAAAAGTTAATGTTTCACATCAGTAGTGAAGGCATCCCAGCAATAATAATACCTTTAATATGGCCCTTATTACATTAATATGGCATAGAGGTGAAAGGAAAAGAAGAGCTAAGGGTGAATATAGATGATAATCCAGCCCCATGTAGTTCCTCCCTAGATCCTCCTAAGTGTCCAGCTGCTGGCAACCAGTGCTGGTCATAGCAGGACTACCATCATATGACATACCATCACTATAGTTTCAAACTAAACTTTCAAAATATTATCATTAGATTCAATGTGTGACATGGCTCCTTACTTGCAGCAAATTTATCTAAAGCAAATTTCTGTTYGATATAAACCTGCACTAGTGTGTAATTTTTCTCAAAATTTCAAATTAACTTAACAGTTTTGTTTTTTATGTGTGCAAATATCAGGGGCAGATCCACGAATCACTGAAAGGGGGGGGGGG